TATATATATATAGATTTCAACCTATCAAAAACTAGATACATTAAAATATACGGTTTTTGCTAGATTGAAATCAATATATAATGTAAATAATATATAACAAAACTTTTAAATAAAATATAGAGTATGTTCTAAATGAAGTATATGTTTGAGTTTGAGACTTAATTTCAAAAAATTTAAATAAAAAGTTAATAATTATCGATAAAATGTAACTAAATAAAGTTAAAAAGTTAAGAGTCTAAAATATAACTAAGTTAAGTTAAAATTATTTAACTTTTCAACTTTTTAACTTAACTTTTAGCTTTTTAACTTGGCACTACCCAACCCTGTCAATTTCTTAAAAAATGTGGAGGTTGACTTTTTTCAGGAAGCTCATCTATTACAGTTTTACTTTTGCTCTTTTCCAAGTTATTCTCTCCTCATAAAATCGGATAACAATTTGAGGGCACTTGGCATTGGCTTCACTGGCAGACACCATGTCAACTGCATCTGTTCCTTTCCTACACAAACAAGATTATTCTTATTCATCATTCAGCTTCAACTGTTTTTAAATTCGCATTAACTTGAATTATTTATCTGTACTTCCTAAATATGCATTTGGCATTAGAAATAGATAGTATCAACACAGATGAGTAAAGAGAGTTACATTCAATCAAGACGAGTCTTGGTGTCTAATTAGTATTTTTGTGTAAATTTTTATAATTTTCAGTTTAAGCAAATTGTGCATCGATTACCTATAGGTCTTGACACATACTAGTAGATTGAGACTGGTCTACGTAATATTACAAATTATATCGACATGCAATTTCATATTACTAATGCGAATTAACATCTTTAAAAAGTATAAAGAATTTATTGCGAAAAATATCATCTCTGCCAGGATTTGAACTTTGATTTTCCTCATTCCATGTAGACATCTTATCAATTCATTTATCAAGGCATGTGATGATATTAAACGCAGTAACTATTAGAACGTATTACCTACCATTGCATCAAGTACATTAGCTTTCCATTGTCATCTGCTGAGCCAAGAATCTTATCTGCTTCCAATTCTCTTTTGAATCCCTGTACTCTGCTGTCATCTTTCATCGTCTCATCAGCACACGAATCTCTTTTAGCTTTAACATCCTTATCAGAATTTATCTTGTTCTTACCTATACAAGACAAAAATAATAACGTTACTGAGAAGAAGAGAACATGAAAATTAATTTAAATAGGGTGACTGAAAAGTCTCGGACCGGTAAAATATCGCGAAAACAAAGCATTTTTGCGAAAAATGCTTCAGACAAAAGTTGTAGAGTTTAAAAAGATTTATTTACTGATCACATCTATATATATATTATGACCTTGGGTGGTGTTGCCAAGATCAGATCAAGGTCACATTGATTTTTTAAATTGGGATACTCTATTTTTGATTTCAGAATCTAAGATGTCAAGAGCTTTTTAAAACACTACAATAAAGTTCATTTTCAAGCCTTATAACTAGACCTCATAAATAGCGGAGCTACTAAATTCACTTTTCAGTTTCGAATTTTTACAGATGAAATTAAGAGACTTACAAAATAAATAAATTTTACTCCATATTTAGCGTTACTCTATATATATGTCAAGTGGAGCAAAAAAGTCTTATAACATTTTGAGATATCCGCTGTAGTTTTCGAATTAAAAAAGGAAACGTCTAAGCCAATGTGCGGTGAAGCCGCGCCGCGCGAATTTGTAGCACAGCCCATCGCGCCTCGCTCCATAGCAACGCGTCGTTGGCGCGCGGAGTTGAGGAGAACGAGGAGCAGGATAGCGCTTCGCCGCCTGGCACGGCGATCCTATGTTTCGCCGTATCGCGCCTACACTATTCAAAAATGTTAATTTAGCTGAAGTTTTCCTTATCATTTCTTAATCTTATCGTTTCCTTAACATTTGTTATCGTTATAAATCACGTTATTTAACACGATTAAATATGTTTTAACACAATTAGATATGTTAAGCGATGTAATTAATTAATCTTGCTATGGAGCGAGGTGCGATGGGCCGTGCTACAAATTCGCGCGGCGCGGCTTCACCGCACATTGGCTTAGACGGTTTCTTTTTTAATTAGAAAACTACAGCGGATATCTCAAAATGTTATAAGATTTTTTGCTCCACTTCACCCATTCTACGCCCCCAATACGGCCTCGACCTCATTTATGAGACACCCTGTATGTGTGTGTATATATATATATATACAAACATATATATATAACTATCTAATAATATTTTAATAATAGGAAAGGGAGGAAATTGATAACTAACTTTCTGCGCAAATGTAATACATTTCATTATCTGTCTTATTCGAGGGGATGAAGAATTTATTTTATTAAAATTCTTCTGCCTTATGACTTTTTCAACCAAAGAATGTTTTCTTTTACTTGGATTTTCCTTACTTTTTCCTTTTCTTATTGTCTTGCTTTTTTGTTCGATTTCTGTTTCTTTTTTGCTGATTCTACTTTTTTTTCTTGGACAATCGAGCTTCTGCTCCATGAGATCATCTTCTTCTAGCAAATCTGTATATATTACATTAGTTCGTTTACAAGTTCTTTTTTTTTCTTGATACAATTCCGCTTTTGGCAGATGTCTTATATCCTGATATATCGAAGATGGACTGATATTTTTCTCGACAGATAAAAAATCGACATTTTCCTGGACAGCTGAAAGATCGACATTTTCCTGGACAGAAAGAAGTTCATTGTTCTCAGCTTTGATAATAGTAGAAGTATTTTCTCTATCGGTCACATTAGATCCTAAGAATTCAATATCAGGAAATATATTTTCATTTAAAGGAGATATTCCTGAAACGCGGAAACCTTCTTGAATATTTGTTGAAGTTGTTGCGAGAGGTAATGCAGTTTTTATTATTTTTGAAATGTGATATATAGATAAAGATTTTCTTGGATTACTAGTTAGCCAGTTGTCACATGCTGTGTTGATATAATTTTTCAAAGGTTCATATACAGATCTATCTAGCGGCTGCAACTTATGACTGCAATAATAAGGAAACGATAAAACTATGATTCCATTCTCTTTCAAATAATCCAGCGCCTCAATAGAAAGGTGAGATTCATGGTTGTCAAGTAAAAGAAGAATAGGCATCTCTTTAGATGATCTAACATGACGAACAAAATGTTGACAATATTTTATAAAATGTTCTTCTTTCATCCAACCTAATGGATTGACATCACCTGCAGATTCAAGAGGGCCTTCTTGTATAAAATGAGCTTTGTAATGGGCTCTTGGAAATATAAAAAATGGTGGGACCATATTTCCGATAGCTGAGACTGTAACTGCCATGGTAACGAGAGTCTCTCTTTCAGTTGAAATTATCTTTCCTAGTTGTTTCATCTCACGACGTGCAATTACACGATCAGGAGTGTGAACAGTACTAATCCCAATCTCATCCATATTCCAGATATCACATGGCTTCACTCTTAGAGAATTATAGACTGTTTTCAAATTTGTGAAGAATAAATTAACATTATGTTTGCTAAATGACGTCGCTCTAGAGAGACTTGTAGCTTTTAATCTTATTGGTAAACTGTTATTGCGTTTAAGGAAACCTCTGTACCAATCTTCACCTGCCATTTTATTTTCATTCCAAGAATCTCGTATTTTACTTCCGTTTTTTATTGCAAATTGATAAGCCAATTTCCTTACTTCTTTGGGTGTTATATCATAATAAATATCTGCTATTCTTTTAATATATTCCACTAAAGCGATTTCTTCTGTATCATTAAAAATTTGATGACTTTTGCCGTAACCTACATGAGTAAATTGAATATTCGATACTTGACTAATATCTTTTCCTGCAGCTTTTAATTTATTAACATATCGGTGTAAGGTTTTAAATGAGATATTATATTTTGCTGCTGATGAACGAACACTTTTTTTGTCTAAAATTACTTCTTTACACGCAAATTCTATAATGCTCTTTGGAATATTTCCCTTATTTGTCTTTCTCTTGTATGTCCTCATGATTTTCTGTAATTAAATTAACATTACAATATTTATAATAATACTCTATATACGTATAATTTAATTATTACATATTTTTATCATTAAAATTCATTAAATTATAAAAATTATTGCATTAGGTATATTAAAAAAAAAAAGATCTGTAATGTGTATTTAAAATAAAAATAAAATACTGTCTAAATTCTTTTGAGTGATATCTCAAATTAAGAGAGTGAAAATATAGCTATTTTTAGAAAAGAGTGAAAATATTTTACTTCCTGAAAAAGAGTGAAATCCCACATTAAAAAGGAGTGAAACATTTCACTTCTTTTTTGGAATAAGAGGTCTGTTTTCTGGCTGAACTAGTGTACACTTTTGGAACTTAAAGTGAGATAAATATATGTTTGATATTTGTTTAAAGCGAGAAAGAGAGTTCTAGAACAGTCTAGTGCAGGAACAGAAAACAGACCAAAGATCGCAGTGAATGAGATTTCCTAACCTAACAACTTTAATTAATATTTCGCTTCGCGGGGCAGAGCGACGCTTTTTTGTTCGTTTCGTGCAAAAACACGTCAAATGAACCTAGTTTCATCAAGATTGGACGTGAGAGGACTAAACTGAACATTTATCACTAAGCTAGATTTCTTTAAAGGAGTGAAATACTGCCATTATTTTTCAAAAAGTGAAATGTTTTCACTCTTTTTCAAAAGTGCTGTATTTTCGCTCTTTTAGAATGAAATTTCACTCCAAGAAATTTAGAAAGTAGGTATTATAACAGTCGTCGTTAAATTAGTCATATAGCCTCATTCTGAGGTTAGCTTACTAGCCCCATCCGTTAATTTTCTAAAAATAACAGTATACGATAACAAAAACAGATAAACAAAAATAATCTGTTGGACTTTATTAAACTTACTATCTAAACAAAAATCAAATATCTCGGACAACTATATGTGATCGTAAAACAAAAATTTTAATATATAAAAACATTTACTTACATATTACGATTTTTTGAAATTGTAACCTAACTTCTGTCACAAATGCATCCGTACGGAAATATCACAGCAGACTGAGTGGCGTGGCAGTAGCTGCTGAGTGCTGCGTGCTCGGACACATAGCTGCGTTCAACAGGAAAAGCAGTTTTGCAACTGTTGTAAAATTCTTGAATAAAATTGGTTAATATATTTAAATCCAGTGAGAAACTAAGGGCAAGACTAATCATATTAAAGAATTTTACAACAGTTGCAAAAACAGCTTTTTCTACTGAACACAACTATTTACGCTTGTCACGCGTGTTTTTTTCCCCCCTTTTAATAACGTAGCCCTGATTAGTCTATCTACCTCTATAATCTACTAGCTCCGGTCTCCAGTCTCCTCTACGTAATGAAAATAAACTTTATTGTAGTGTTTCGAAAAGCTCTTGACATCAGTTATTAGAACCAAAAAGCCCTGGAACCAAAAACAGGGTATCCTTGGTGAAAATTTCTCTCAAAATTTTTCAGAATTTCTATATAATTTTCTCACATTTTTTTATACGAATTGGAACATTTCTCAGAAAATCTACATCTTTTCTCAGAATTTTTCATATATGTTAATTATAAAATATTGTAAGATTTCTAAGATTTTTTGTAAGTATAATTTTTGATGAAATATTATAAAATTAAAAATTATTAAAAAAAAACTATATATAGGATGAGATATTTCAAAATATTTCAGAATTCACTTATATGAAAAATTCTGAGAGAAGATGTAAATATTTCTGAGTATTTCTGAAAAATGTTCCAATTCATATAAAAATTATGAGAAAAATTTTCACCGGAATCCTATTTAAAAAAATCGATGTAATCTTGGCGATGCCAGCCAATATCAAACAAATGTGACCAGTAAATAGATCTTTTTAAACTTTACAACTTTTGTCTGAATTATTTTTCCCGAAAATGCTTTGTTTTCGAGATATTTCAACGTTCCGGGATTTTTTACTCATCTTATATATCCTTACATATCGCAAGGATAAGTAAATTAAGAGAATGAACGAATTAGGAAAGATTGAAGCTAAAATCGAAAAATTAAAATACAAAAATAATATCATTGGGAAAAAGAAAGGAAATAAGGAAATTAATTCAGAGAGTCGTGCAGTACTGATACTCTAAGTTTTTTTTAGTGCATCTTTAGCTAGTCTCTCGAAGAAAATTAAATTTGAGAAATGGTTTGTAGTATAAATTGAACTTAATAAAATGAGAGAAATTCGGTCTTCAAGTAAATTTCGAAATTGCTAAATTCGATTGATTTATCAAAGTATTAATATAAGCGTTATGAACTATCCATAACAATGAAATAGTTTAATTTATATTTATTTATATTTATTTATTAATAAAGTTGAAAATTTTGTGAAAATTCGAACAAAAGAAAACGTTACACTATTAGTAGATTTGTTTATATGACGTCACAGGATTGTTTCGTCTTCACGCAAGTCTTTCATTTTTACTTGTTATTACCCCGAATCTATTAGGTATTAAACTTAATTCCTATCGTTTTTTCGTCTCGAAAATCGATTTGTTTCGAAGGGAAGATGAATGAATACCTTTATCAAAGTAATTTCCTCCATTTTTTACTACTTTTTCCCATTTCTCTGGCAACAG